AAAGAAAAAAATATATACATGTATTATCAGATGACCGGACAATTGTAGTTTTTGTCTTGTCAGACGTAATTTCAATGAAGAAATGAATTGAATAAACATATATATTTTTTCTTTTCTCAATAATTTTGTAGTTTTTAAACTTAATAGTGATTAAATTTGGATTTTAAAATTGCCAGTTTTTAATTTTAATATTAAATTTTATCATATAAATTTATAATTATTAGTTAGTAAAATTATTTTTTAATATTACACGTATTTAAAGATCTATATAGCTATAATAGCAGTTTTTTTGTTGTCAAGCTTTTGAATCTTTCTGTACTTCGTTTTTTTGATTGGTTATTCTAGCTTTTGTAACAATGCTCCCCCTAGTGTAGGATCGTTAATTAATCTGAAACTTTTAAAACCATTTATTTTCTTTTCAACACCATCACTTGATAAGACACAGAGTGTGTTGAAACAAAATGGCTATTTTGTAGTGATTTTATAACATACTTATGTTATAAATTTTTTTATAAAAATAATTATATCTGCTCTACTTTGTATTGAGCACTCTTTTAAGAATAGTAATTGTTGGTTATTGGAATTCATTCCGTGTATACCAATTATATACTTTATATATATATATATATATATATATATATATATATATGTATGTATAATATGCATGTATTTATAAATATATATATAAAAATATATTATATATATATATATATATATATATATATATATATTTATATATTTATAAATATATTTTATATATATATATATTTATAAATATATATTTATATATTTATAAATATATATTTATATATTTATAAATATATATTTATATATTTATAAATATATATTTATATATATATATATATATATATGTATAATATATGTATTTATGAATATATATATAAATATTTATATATATATATATATACAAGTATATAATTGGTGTATACGGAATGAATTCCAATAACCAACAATTACTATTCTTAAATACAGAGTAGAGCAGATATAAATATTTATTTTTAAAAAATTATGTCATAAAATCGCTACAAAAATAGCCATTTTGTTTCAAAACCTCCAGTGTCTTATCAAGTGATGATGTTGAATGTAAAATAAATGGTTTTAAAAGTTTCAAATTAATTAATTAATGATCCTTTGCAAGGGGAAAACGTTGTTACAAAAGCTAGAATGACCAATCAAAATACAAGTATAGGAAAATTCAAAAAGCTTGATAATGAAGTCATGTTATAATAGCTATTCAGATCTTTAAAATAGGTGTAATATTAAAAATGAATTTATTCTAACCAATAATTATTAAATTATATGATAAAATTTGATATTAAAATTAAAAGTAAAAATTACCAATTTTAAAATCTAAATTTAATCACTATTAAGTTTAAAATTATGAATTTACTGAGGAGAAAAGAAGAAATACATATGTTATTCAATTTATTTCTTCATTGAAATTACGTTAGAATAGACACTGATATGTCATCCGGTCCTCTGACAATATGTATACATTTTAATCCCAAGTGTGTGAATGGGGTCCTAACCTCACGCATAAAACAACCCAAACACACTCAGATTATAATACATAAGCACCCAGACATATTTAGATATATATACACACAAAAAGTAACGAGACAGGGAACATCTCCATGGCCCTTTATAAAAAAAAAAAAAAAGAAAAAAAAAGGGAAACAAACACATGCATACATTCACAATTAAAAGTGAATGCACTTTCCATACACTTAGACACTGATAAATACATGTACACGCATCCACATACATTGACCTAGACAATCAGATAACCTCATCCAAGAAATATTTAAGACGGAAAGTGTTATTAAACCAATGCTAACCACTTATTAAAATATAACTTAAGTGAGCAAATATACAAAGATAAAAATGGTTAAAAATAATATTATTTAATATATTAAAAAACAAAAATTCCAAACCCACAAATATCTATAAAAAACATATATTTTAATCATATAAGTTGATTCATTATATATTAGGTGAAAGAAAATAAGATAAAAAGAACTACCTACAGAAATAAGTGTACTGTCACACATATATACATATATACGCATACACATATACACAGAAATATGTTTACATACATCCACACACACACACACACACATGTACATATACATAAACATACACACACATACACATATACATATATATACATATATACACACACACATGTACATATACATAAACATACACACACATACACATATACATATATATATATATATATATATATATATACACACACACATGTACATATACATAAACATACACACACATACACATATACATATATATACATACATACACACACACACACACACACACACACATATATATATATATACATACACATACGCACATACACATGCAGAAGCAAGTATAAATATATCAACCCGCACAGCTTCGTAAAAAAAAAAAATGCCAGATATAAATATATATACATACATGCACATAAATACAAATACATATATATACACAAATACATACATGCACATATATACATATTTAAACATACATATACATGCATACACATGCACATATAAACTAAGTACACAAACATATATATATATACCAACACATATACAAACATATGCATACACATAAAAGAAAAAGAAAAAACATACAAACGTAAATTCACCTATATAGACAAATATACATGCACAAACACATCCATATATATATACATACATATATACACACATATACACACACATATATATATACATATATACATATATATATATACACAAATATACACACACATATATATATATATATATATATATATATATATATATATATATATATATATATATATATATATATATGTATATATATATATATACACAACCATACATATGTATATACATACACACATAAAAATGGGAATATACATACATTCTAACATTATATTATTAACAATAAAATATAGTAAAAGTTCCTAATAATTTTATAAAAAGTAACCACACACAGTCGTTGATTAAGTCTATAAGCCATTAAAAACTCCCTATCATACAAGAGTAGATTTTAGTTAGTATCGATGGTATGTTTCAAGACACTGATATATACATACATATATACTACAGCTTACGAACATATATCCACATATACAAATATATAATCATGTATAAATACCCGTATCGACACATCCACATATACACATATATAAGAACACTCCAATCCACTCATATGCACATAAATATACAAACATATACATATACATACGTATATGTATATACACACTTAAACACATATAAATACAAATACATATACACATACATATATATAAACAAATACACAAACACTCACATATACATATATATATATATACATATATACACACACACAAATACACATACATATACATATATACACTCATAGACTTACACACTTGGCAGTAAACACAAACCAAACTTGACATACCTACACATACACACAATCTCACATACATATACACCCACACACATACACACACACACACATATATATATATAAAACATATACATACATACATACATATATATATATATATATATATATATAATAACAAGTACATATACACAAACATACATACATACATACACAAATATACACACACTCACATATACATATATATACATATACACACACAGACAAATACACATACAAATGCATATATACACACATAGACTTACACACATGGCAGTAAACACAAACCAACACACAATTACATACATATATACATATAAATACATACATATAAATATATAAACATAAACATATACATACATATACATATTTATGATAACAAGTACATATACACATACATACATATATACACACATATATGCACACATACTCACACATACACATATATATACATATATACACACACACAAATACACAAACATATACATAGACTAACTTATGTGGCAGTAATGACAAACCAAAGTTTACATACCTACACATACACACAAACTATCTCAATTATAATAGGTGTCAACACACAGATATATGCACCCACACACACACACACACACACACACACACACATATATATATATATATATATATATATATATATATATATATATATATATCGTTAAGGATCGTTAATTAATTTGAAACTTTTAAAACCATTTATTTTACATTCAACATCATCACTTGATAAGAGATCAGAGATGTTGAAACAAAATGGCTATTTTTGTAGTGATTTTATAACATATTTATGTTATAATTTTTTTTAAATAAATAATTATATATATATATAAAAGCACTCGGATAAAAAGAACAGTTGGACAGTTTTTATATAATTTATCATCTGAAAGGAAAAAAAATCATTAGATCAGATGAGAAATTGTATAAAAAACTAAATCAAAACACCTTGTCTGTTGTATTCAATGAAATAAAACCATGTGTGAATGTGTATAAACAATTTAAAATAATATATTTACTCAACAGAAAACAAAAACAAAAGCTTGACTATAACTGTCTAGAAGAAGATAAAAGATTTGATTCTTAAAATATTTTGTCCATAAAAACCTTTCTTCTTGTTTGCATTGAGATTTGATATAAATTTTAAAGAAATATTTTAATTAATTCTGAATATAAAGCAATAAAATCTATTTATCTCATTTCAATCTAGGAAATGATTTAGGTTCTCTTCCATATCACTCCTTCTCTTTTTCCCATGTATTTAGACATAGGTATTTATCTGCACATATGACTATACACAGAAGTGAATCATTAAGTCTGTAGCCTCACACATTTATTTGTTGAGTTTTGATCTTAATTTTTCACTTCTATAATGTTTAATCCATAAACATAATCTTAAATAGGAAAATGTTTAGTTAAGTGCATTGACAAGGAAGAGGATTATGTTAAAAAATCAGTATGTATGTCCATATATAACACTTATGCATATATGCATACATAAACATACATATATATATACCATTTATGAAAAATGATTTTCAACTGACCTTTTAATGAATTCATTGAATGGTAGTCTGTATGGGAATCCAAGTTTGCGTATTTTGGCCGCTTCTGCAATACCAGAGTAGATGAGTTGCTCCTTGACTTTTTCTTCATTGAACATATCTGGTCGATGATAATCATTTGGCTTGACACATCTGCAAAAGAGTCAAAAATGCTTCTGATGAAAGTTGAGTCATGAAATAACTGATATGGACTTTTAGTTGTTGAAACCATAAATTAAGGATCAACACCAAAATATTGATGACTGTCAGAAAAATTCACAGTTTAGGTGAAAAACATTAAACATCACAGAAACATCGCAATCCTCTTAAGTACAATAATGAACTTCATATGTGAGTATGGAGATCAGAAAAATGTCACTTACTAAAGTCTATTTTTCTTGATAGCTTACTGTGTTTCAGTCAGAAAAAAGTTGACACTGAGACAGAATTTTAAATTGTAGCCCCTTATCTGATTGCTCTAAATTATTGCTAAAAATGAAAACTATTGATACTTTAAAGATAAGCAGTATAAAGTAGTTTCATAAAAATATAAATGTAAATTGTCATTTTAAAATGAATCTTTTGAAAGACTGATTCTGAATGTTTCATTTTGAAATGAGATTTCTCTTTAAAAGATTCCTGATACAGAGAGGAAAACAAATACCAACTTATTTTTCAGTATATAATATTTGACTAGATGTTCTGTTGACAAGTTTTAGAATTACTCAAATAATCATTAGTTTAAAATAACTGTTTTTCTCTCCTTAGTGGTACTTTATCCTGTTTGAAGAAAATTTTTTTCTCTTAAGGTGGCCAGTCATCAATTCAACTTTATTTAAGCTCATATATTAGAATATATAAATTAAATTCATGTCTGAAATTTAAAAAAGTAGTTTTCTTCATATGAGCTTTTGCATTGATGTAATTATAAGAATTAATTTTTATTTTTCCAATTCCAACTTAAAATATAGAATTTAATTTATTTGCTGATTATTCCTTTTAAAGCTGTCTTTATTTGGTCAATAATAATCAGAGATCAGAACACAAACATACATTAAAATTATTCACATTGAAAATCAAAATTGTTTACTAATAATGTATAAAAAGTTTTAATCTAAAATAACTAATTTTTTCATGGAAAATAAAATTATTTTTTCTAGTACAGAATGGGAAAAAAAGAATGTTGCTTCTCATATTAAAAAAGGTGCAAAGAGTAATAAAAACTCAAAACTACCTCATGAAATTTAAAAGTTGCAAACATTTATTAAACTGATACAAAACAATATAATGGAGTACAAATTTTCTTTCATGCACCTTATTAAGGACAAGGCAAGATAACATAATAAAATTATAGCTCTAAAATTGTCTCTCAAAAAACATCCACAATACAATTTTTTTTTTAATTATGAAAGGAAAAAACTTTCATGGTTGTTCTAAGGGTGCTTTTTGTTGTTTTTTTTTTTTGTCAGTGTAGTTTTTAAGAATGCTGAGATTTTTCTACCCTTTGCTCTGCTGGCAACTTTCTCATGAAGAAGTCTTTGTTGTCCCATCCACAGCCAGATTTGTAGCTGATGTTCAAGTTATTTTCCTGCTTCCTTTCTACCAGCCAACCTTGGTCACTTGAGATCTAATCCTTTCTGTGTGACATATCATTTCCTTATGCCACAGCCAGTAGGCTTCTTCTGTTCAGCCATCTAAACACCTTCTCCCATAGCCAGCAGGCTCTGTTTCTTCTACTGCCTAACCACCTGCTGACTCATTCTTAAATAGCCTCAAGAGTGGCACAAATGCTTAAAACTGCATTTTTCATTCGACATACAAGAGTATTATATTTTTTTCTGAATTTGAAAAATTAATCCCAAACAGTTCACCATAACAGTTATTTCTGGCAGTCCTTTTTACAACCAATTCGAAATAAAAAAAAACACAAAATGAAAATTTTTAATAAACCCTCTGGATTTCTTTTAATACACTTCTCACAAATGTAAATGCAAGAAAGACAAACTCAAACTATTTAACATTTATTTGCTCACACTTTTAATTGTTATTTTCAATTATTTTATGTTATTCACCAATAAAAAATCTATAGATGCACATAAATTTCTGAAATAATGTTTTAACATAGCCTATGAACAATTCAATTAAAACATTAGCACAGTTAGTTATATAATCTCAGATGACTTTTTCTTATATTTGGATTAGTGATAAAATATTATTATGGAAATAAAATCCCAAATGGCATAAAATGGAAAAGAAATAAATACAATTGTGTTTACTAAGAATTGAGAGGAGGAACATCATTTTGTATGTCATCAAATAAATACCACACAATAAGTTAAGATCAATTCCTCATATATATTCCTTGGAAAATTCTGATGAATCATACAGCATAAAACAAGTAAAGTGAGAATTTAAGAATTGACTGTTAGAATATGAGTGAGGAATATTGTGCATTATGCATAGAATTTTGATTCTACATATAAATTCCAGTTCATGGTATAAATAAGAGGCAATTTTGGGGCTTGTTCTGTAAGACAAAAATTGCTTTAGTTTGCATTTGAAACATGCACTACTGCATAAGTGAAGAAGATATATACCTATACATCTATATACCTATATATCTATATACCTATATTATAGCTTATCATAGCTTTTCATAGTGATACCTGTGCTTAATAAGATTAGTTTATATGGAATTCACCCAACCACTGCTCTTTTCACTGGTTAGTACAAAAAAGTTATATTTATGGCTCATTGGAAGAGGCAAGTGATATGAAAAGGACAAATTAATCAATGCTAAGATATCTTTTATTATGAACAACATTTCTGGAAAGGTAACAGCTATGACATGCACCTGAAGAAGGTTAGAGGGTACAGTCGTAGTAGTAGAAACATTGTAACAAAAACAACTAAAAGAAAACTTGTACAAACAAATAAGTGCTTAATATACGGAATATTATTCAGAATGATATCTTTTCATTTAACTGTTAAACTTCATAAAAATCAAACATTTTTACTAAATTCTAATCAAAATTTTGTCAGATGTTACATTGTTACTTTTTAAGTAAACGTAATCAATTATAACTATTTACTTACCTGACAAAATGTGGCTCAGATTCATTAAGTTTTTGCAGCAGAGATTCCATAGAAGCCTAAAAGTTTCAAGACAAATTGTCAATAATAAAAGTAAATCTGAAAAAATTCTCTTTAAGGAAAGTTTGCTTGTTTGGCCACCGTATACAAAGATAAAATTGAAAATGATTCATGAAATTAATAATATTAAATTAAAAGATTGGAAATATTTTGAATTAGATTTTTTAATTAGGCACATTATAATTCTACTTCTAAATATCTTTAAATGAGAAATTTTTGAAAAATCAAGTTTTAAGAAATTTTTTAAGTAGTTTATTTGAAAAATAAATCAAATTACCCAAGTCAAACATTGTCATCAAAAAGTCTCACATATTTTTCATTAGATTTCACATTTCAAATTCAAATCTTAGTTTTAACTAATATTCTTTTCACACTCTTAACTTATGTTCTTTGATCAACTTCAAAATGGTGTAATTTTTTATTTTTATTTCACTCTTCAGAACAAGACAAGATGCTGGATAGTTATAAGTATTTCATTTCAAAACTTATATATTCCTAAGCAAAATTCTATATACTTACCTTTAAGTATGAAATGACAGTTTTGTCTGGTTTTGTTATTTTGACATTGGGAATTCTATAAATAGAATAAAAAACAGGAAATTTTAATTATCTTAGTTCAATGCATCAATATTTTGTTTTTGTTACTGTCTTATCCAATGCAACCTTTAATCCCAATAAAATGCAGTTTATGTTAGTTTTGGATTTGGCCACATATAACTTGAAGGGAAATATTCTTCAGAATAATGACAACCACATTTGCTTTTATATAATTTGTATTACATGAAAAAAATCATGATAATGAAGAAGTTGAAATAATATTTCATTTTCCCAAAATATTTCCTTGAAAAATCCTGTTATGATTTTGTTGTCTGTAAAATAAAAATCATTAAATAAAACCTGAAAAAGGATATAACTTAAAATTATTTTGAAAACAATAGGATGCCTTTCCTTTGATGCATTTTAATAAATAATTATTTTCCTGCTAAAAATAGAATTTAGTAAAAGGACATTTTTTTAGAAAAGTATCCAAACAGAAAAAGCACAAATGTAAATAATACAAAAGTAAACCAAAAACTGTTAAAATAAGAAAGAAACATTGAAAGATTAAGATAAAATTATAGGATTTTATATAATTGGAGAGAAAAAGGAAAGCCATAGCTGGATTAATATACAGAGGGAAATAGAAATTAATGCACAAATTAATATATAGAATCCTAAATGGATTGCAAAGTCATGAAATTCAACAATAAGCAGGAAAAAAAGTTATTAATGTCATCAATAAGCAGGAAAAAAAGTTATTAATATCAATATTTTCATTTGTTTTGAAAGCTACTTACTTTCATATACTACATAAAGAATGTCTCATATTAAAACCAACATTAAATCAGTGTATGGTTTCCTAACAAAAACCATCATATTATCAAATATAGTGAAAAATGTCTGTGAACATTTTTACATCATCCAAAAAGGGCAGGGGGTGTCAATTATAAGAGGACATTTTCCATATGGTATGGCCCCCTGCCCTTTCATGAGGTGGGGCTCTAAGACTTTTCAAGAGAACTAAGTTCAGGTTAATTTCTTGGTATTCTGTCAAATCCATCTTGGAAAAATAATTAAGCATTTCTAATCTGTACATGCTTTGTAATACATCACATATAGTTCATTTCTTTAACAAAATGTGTCAGCCATCCAATTCGACAAACAGCTCAGACATTATTTCTAAATTAGACTCCCATAAGGCAAGCAGAGGTGATTGAATCACAGCCGGTGTCCTAAAGAAATGTATTCTTGAGCTGGCTCTAGTTCTCTCCAAATTCTATAGCTATTGCCTTGCTACTTCCTGCTTTCCATCTTGTTGGAAACTCTCCTCTGTAGTTCCCATTTTTAAGAACTCTGGAGAACCTTCTGACTCCAGTAACTATATCTTATTAGTCTCCAACTACTTTTCGGAAAAGTATTTGAAGGTTTAATCAATACCTAAGTTGTTAAGCATCTTACCTCTCATGAACTACTCTCCGACACACAATATGGCTTCCATTTTGCCAGGTCTACCACTGATGTGCTAATGGCCATCACTGAATATGTATGTTAAGCACTTGATAATAGTAGCAAAGCTTGAATTGTGGCTCTAGGTAACTCAAAGGTATTTGACAGGGTTTGGCACACTGGTAAGCTCTAGGGTTATGGTATTACAGGATGATTTAATCCAATCATTCCTATCAAATCGTGAAATGAAGGTCGTTTTAAATGGGCTCACTTCCATATCCTTTCACATGAATATGGGTGTCCTCCCAAGGATCTATCCTGGGTCCTTTGCTGTTTCTGATCTTCATCAATGCTCTTCCTGATATCATCAGTTCTCAGGTAGACATTTATACTGATAACACTACCATTTACTCCTGTCTCAATAGCAAATCTGTCAGAGTTGACAAAGTTAACCTGGCCACTGCTCTTGAAAGGACTTCCTGTCAGTGGTTAACTCGGGCAGGAAATGGCTCATGAATTTTAATACCTCCGAAAGGAAACTGCTTTCATTTAAACACCATAGAGAAACTTTGCTGTCTACCATCAGCATGGCTGATGATAGACTCATGGAGAGCAATACACTGTGCCTTATTGGCCTCATGTTTTCAACTAACTTGAAGTGAAACAACTACATTGAATCAATAGCTGCATCTACTGCAAAGAAAACTGGATCTCTATGTCATGCTAGAAGGTTTTTCTTGTCAGAGTTCATCTTGCACATTTACAAATCTACCATTCATCCATGCATTGAATACTGTTGCCATATCTGGTCAGGTTCTCCTGCTACTCATCTTGAGGTTGTTAACAAAATCCAAAGAAGGATCTGCAATGTAATCAATCCTGACTTGGCATCTCGACTTCAATCAATTTCTCATTGACATGATGTAGCTTCTCTCTATTTTCTACAAATATTTTCATGGCTACTGGTCTGACAAGCTTTTTCCCCTGGTTCCCAGATTACAGGAGTTTATGTATGCTACTAAACTTGCATCTCAGTCCCACCCTTTTACTGTTGAATTAGGTAAATGTAACTGCCACTTATACTCTAACATTTTTTTTCTTGCACTTCCCACCTGTGGAACTCTCCTCTTCTGTTTCCTTCCTTCCCTGATAACTACAATCTTCAAAAATTTAAATGCAATGTCAATAGCCATCTTCTATTTTCTTGAAACCCATTCTGCTTTCATCTTTTCCTCAGTCCACTGTATACCCAGTCTTTTCTCTCACTTTTCTCGTGCGCTCTCGTGAGGAAATTTTAAATAATACCTATTTTATATCTAAAAGGTCATTCACTAGAGAAATTAAGATGCCAAGAGTCTTTACTAGTTGTTTTTTTATAAACAGAAGTTTTAAAAGTATTATTACTAAAATCGACAAGAACATCTAAGAAAGGAAGTTTATTTTTTTCACTAAGTTTATAAATAAAATTTAGAACAGAATTTTGTTGAAATGTAGCTTTCAGATTTTCTATTTCTTTCTTGTTTTCAGCCAAAATAAAAATATCGTCTACATAACAAACATATATTTCAGGTTTAATAACTTTAGTAAAAAGCTTGTTTTCAACATAGGACATATAATAATTGGAGAAGCACGGCCCAAGAGGGTTTCCCATACTTACTCCATCATTTTGTGTGTAAATAGTACCATTCTGGCTATAAAAAGGAACTCTAGTGGTGCAAGTGAGCAATAGTTTTCTTAAAATATTGGGTTGGATTGATAGAGGTGGAATTAAATTATTTTTATACACTGAATTAATGATAATATCAATAGTTTCAGAGATGGGAACATTAGTTTGAGAATTTTTTTTTATTTGCAAAATTTTTTAATATTAAAATTCGAAGACATTTTATAGGTACCTCCACGAGATTGCTAAAAAAAGAACATAACATGATGAAAAAGATGCCAAACTTGATGAAAACAAAATTTTCTCATCTAAATGTTTATGTTATTATTAAGACAAAAGATTGAAGCATTTTGGGGTTATTTTTTTACATTTTTTAATCATTCCTAGCACATCTGAAATTTTCATTAAAAATCTTGTTTTTTTTGAGTCAGCAAAATTGACAGATCATGGCAACCATTTTTTTCCATTTTATAAAAAAAATGAAAATCTCAATTTGAAATTCTTTTAAAAATCAATTATCATTTTTTCAAAACTTATTTTAAGAAAATCAGAAATTATAATGTTTATTTAAAATTTTTGAACCAAGCTTAACTTAGCTTCTGCGCCGAAAAGATGGAATTTGAAAATAAAACAAAGCAGGTCATAACCTCTTGCGTCACTTGACATATTGACAGATTAGGTGAGGATAATTTGTTCTATGGAAGGAGAAAAGTGAAATTATTTAGATTTAAGTGAACAAATTATTTACCTCATTATTTTTAAGGAAAACTTTCAGCGTTCTAATTTTTTTGTTTTTTGTACTTAGCTTTCACCTTTACATTTACGATGCTTTTATGGAAATATATTATAAAGAAATTAAAATAAGACTTAAGAGTGACATTAAATTTCATAAGAAAGGTATCTAATTAATTTATAGGTACCTTTCTTATGAAATTTTATCAGAAGTGTACATAAAATGCTATAATTTTATGTATATTTATTACATTTTACTGTGTTATTTGTATTTCCATTCATTTTATTATTAATTTTGATATTTCATTTATGAAAAAATGTCATAACTGAGATTAATATAAAAATAAGATCATATAAATTTCATAAGATGATACTGATACTTGTAGGTACTCTTCTCAGTTGAAATTGAAAAATCAAATTTTGTTTCGCAAAAGTAAAGGCCTTAATAGCGGAGAACAATGCTTAACTGAAATAATGCAACTTAATTGTATTTTAGTTGGTCTTCCATACTTTATAATTACAGCCTGATTATAAACACACAATTACATTTCTTAATTACTGCAGGTCTTCTGATTAGTCAAAACGATACAATTTACTATGCGCTAAAAAAGATCTATCTCACAAGGACACTTACGAAAGTGGATGCGGCTTTTAACTAATTTGATATATTTTAACAACTTAAATGTAAAAATCTATTATAATTAAAGAAATAAGAAATAATTGTATTAAAAATTCATTTTTCATTGAAAATTTTTTTTGCTTTCTGAAAGTATTGTCCATATTCATAAAATCAACTAAAAGCAAATAAAAGCATTTGAAATTGAATAACATCTTTGTTTTATTGAGTTTTGTATGTTATAATTCAGAGCTGAAATTCAGGTAGTGGGGATCCAATTAAAAACAAAAAAAATATGATTTGTATTCCTCAAAGCCTTGTGCTTTTAACTATTGTAATTACTAAAGTGGTCTCGATCCAATTTCTAAAGTTTTCATAAAATTAGTTATTAGTATATAAAAAATATTTCTGCTATGACTTTAATATAAAAAAAACAACACATTTATAATAATTTCCATCATCTATGAATAGTTTCTGAAAGTTTCATTAACATCTGACAATTATTTTTATTTTTGCAAGATTTTCCAAATTAATGTGTGTCATACAAAAAAAAAAAATGTGCTAAAAATTGTATATG